TTATATATCTAAATTGCTACTGCGGTATAGCTATTCTAAAATCTAAATGGTCCATAGCTATTGCTAAAATATTGATTCAACGTCACTAATTGCTAAATTTACGTCAGATATTTACATGTTTGTGTAAGTGATCATCTGACGTACTAATAATATTAATCGTAAATCGCTATTTAAATGTTATTAAATTCGTCGTATAACAATATCTTATGATCAATTGATTTGTTGTTTGCATCTTATGCCTGGCCCATTTGAGCTAGTCAATAATGATACTTCCTAAATAAATGCAGTAGGGGAAGTAGCTATCTCCCATACCAAATTTAGTAACTCGAAGCGCCATCGAGGTGCTGATGAGAACACACAAAATTTTCCAGTCTATTTATTGATTATACTAGTCAGAAATTATGTCTAATATGTCATATTTAATATTCAACACTTCAAAGGAGCCGGCCAAAGGTAACAACGAACCGCCAAAGAGAAGACCAAAAACGAATAATAGAAATCGATAAGGCAATAACTACTGTATATAGCATATTAGACATGAAACGTGTTCATTAATAGCATGAAATTGTATGACGGCCTTTTGTGGGGTTTTTTTATAGAGAGCAGTATTCAAATCGAGTTGTTACATGATTAAGATATTTATTGTATCTATACGGTTTTTTACGGGTAATACCGATCACCCGGACGAAACGGCGCGCTGCGGCTGGTGCCTCGTTTTCTCATGTCAAAGTGTTTGTAATCATTATAGTACGTCGTTGTCATCCATAGAAGGATAAGAGTCTATTACACGGTGACATTGATTCCCGTTATATTGAATGTCAATGTTGTATTCAACATCAATGGTAAACAACCATTTGTAGATTTTATTAGTTATCAAAACCGTGTTCTGTAATAAATATATTTACTTCCCATATTCAAAAACCAAAACTCTTTCAAATGCAGGAGAAAAATGAAAGCACTTTATACGTCACTAACCATACACTCACTTTCCCGTATTAAACTTAAGATCCTTTGTTGTTTTAGATAACGAATAAAAAGCACTTAAAATGCCTTACGCCACAAAGATTTTTTTGTGGCTTTCAATGTTAGCTTAGGATACTTTTAAAAGTATCGTGTTAAGTTTTGTTGACAACAAACGATACAACCTTACTACGATTGAGTTTCTGTTCATGTTTCTCATCCAGTAATTATTAAATAACTTATTAGTTAATACAAGTGTAATACAAGTCCTCTATCAAAATACCCCATCATCTGTCTTTAAACGATTTGGTGGCCACGGAAAACAATTGGCCAAGAACATGGTAACAAATTTCGAAACCGCACCTTTCATTTTGCAAACTATGAAAGTAATTCGGCAACTTAGCTAATAACGCTTTTTCTGCACTCTATAATTTTTAGTGAACAAAAATAAAGGTATGCAGTGAAATTATTCACTCTCGAATCTGCGTATGTAAGGGCTTTATATTCGAATGTTATCTGATCATACCCTGAGTAGGAAATTAAGCCAATGCTGATATGAGAATTGGAACCCTCAAGGAATTCAGGCTATGCTGGGAAATTGCTGAATCACCTTTTTGACCAGCTATATTAGATACTTCTATATATAGATCTCATCAATAATAAAATTAGCTCGTGCGGTATTTTTTTTAATTGACCAATAAAATTTCATCAAAATTATCCAATCCAGTGAAAGTCTGCTTTGCTAATCAAACAGTAACGAACTTCATCTAATAGACCAATGAGGCCACTTTGTTTATATACAAAAGTAGTCAAATGAGAGTCGTTTAACAATCGCGGCGATTCCTTGATAAGCAGATTTCCTTCAAGAAAAAAGGCATTATAATATTAGCGTTGCGTTAAACCGTTTCATAAAGTGGTTCTCTTTCCATTCAGAGAACAACAAAACAATCATCCTCAGGATATGCATGCTAATATTATTTTATTTGATCACAAGGCTTACAGAACAGAGCACATAAATAGCAGTCTGAATAACTTGTGTTTATTATCCTTTCATAAATAGCACCCCATGATTACCGCTATTAGCACATAACCTACCCTCACCAATAGTTTATTAATAAGAACGCGAGATTATAAACTTTTATAATACACTCCTGGTTACTGTGATTATTGTTGGATAACTCCCTGAATTTTATTGTTTACATGACGGTTTGCCGATTATTTCATGGGGAACTTACGTAACGTATTCACGCGAGGAACGCAACAGAACGGGGAAAATAGTTTAAGCCAGCAAAATTAAACAGTATAACATATTACGTACGAATTTGACGTTGTCATCGTTTGGGTGCTTCCAAGGTTTGATTCCGTCGAATCATATGCAGTAAGTCTATCATAACTTTCTTCATTCCATATATCATAGTATTGTTACGATCATTATGTAACATCCTAAACGAATTGTTGCTGCGGTAATACGGTAAAGTACCGACACGTATATAAACGCCCACTTCCATTAACGATTTGCATAGCATGGCTGCTACTTTGTTCAACGATCAATATCTTATTGATCTGCCTTCCATCGATATGCCTACCACTTTAACATTTGATTTACTAACTCCCTCCGAAATCGATCTCTTAGACCACCCCCCATACATTCTCACCCTATCTCTTGGCATCCTCCTCGATCCTACATATAATCGTCAACCCCTTCCTCCAAGACCTCAGAATGCGTGGATTATTTTTCGTGGGAATTTTGAAGGCCAACTACGTGCTCAACACCCTCATAAATTATATACTATTCACAGCGTCTCGAAAATTGCCAGCGCTCAGTGGAAGGTTCAGTCCGATGCGGTCAAAAAATACTTTTGCGTGCTTTCTAAATTGCCCGAGAACAACACCGGCTTGCTTTTCCTGATTACGTTTATAAACCAAAAGGACTAAGCAGAGAAAAAGAAATAGAGAATTTGTATTCGTAAAGCTACATTTACAAGTCGACAAAATACTGATATACACAATATTAAACCTTACCAGGCGAATGAGAACAGGAGCACGATCGTTATAAATACCGACGAACATTTTGTATGTGAGAACGCGTACAATAACACTTGGCTCGAAGGCTCATTTCAGGAAGACAATAATTACGTCACATCATCCGCCTGTCATAATCTAGTGTCTGTTCAACCGGCTAGTCCGGATAATATTTACAACAATATTTGTGATACCGATAGCACGTTAATTTATCCTACTGATGAAACAATCCATTTGCCTATTACTATCCAAGATTTTGTTTATAATCCTTTTGCTTTTTCCATTTCCAATTTTTCCCAGAATGGTACAATTCTTGAAACAGCGGTATACGCTTCATCAGACAATACATACTAAAACGTCGATATGCAGTTGATTAAAATAGTGGACAGAAGAGGTTTGCGATACCAACGAATATAGACAGGACACTTTCTCGTATTTGATAATGTATGAGAATAATCAAAATACCCCAACGATTATCAAGGAATAAGAAACAGTTGCAAATTTTATGTTGTATAATTATACAATATAAAATTTGTAAATATGACAATTCTATATGGAAGGCGCGTCTGCATATGTGTTAATAAGATATTTACGCAAATAAGTATTTTGTACGGATTAAAAAAAGTAAAGTTAAGGAACGCTATATTTTCGAATAAACAAATTTGTTGTTTACAGCATAAAGTATATGAATATACGTGGTATAGCAAAAGATAAATATTACTTCCGATTATTAACAATGCCCCGATTGTGAATTTCCAATTACAATGTATTGTTTATTACTAGCAGCTAGTGCTCGCGAGCACTGTATATTTCGGATTGCAAAGGCCTAGCTACCTGTATTAGACAATTCAATATAAAAAAAACAAATAAATATCGAATAAAGTCGAGATATCATTATCGAGCGTTTCTGCAAAAATTGAGTTTACATACATACTAGTCAGGCTGCCAAGCATTTCTTGAAAAATATGCTCCTGAAATTATATACTAATTTGCTAATAGTTCAGACTTTAAACCTTGTTAAATCTTTGGGCCATTGTTAAAAGACACGTGAGAAAATGCATACCCATTTATTAGAACATTTTATGACGAAAAAATGGAGGTCTATTCTAGAAACTCTCTCTAATTAGTTTTGTAGAATCAACAAAGAGAAGAGACCGTGCTAGAAAATAATAGCGATCAAATTCCTAATAAATAAAAACTACTTGTTTCAAGCTTTCAAATGATATATATCATTCGACATTTGAGCAATACAAGCTTTGTGGTTAAACGCATGTGTTTGTGACGAAATATTAGTAATACAAGTTGTCGAGTTACGCAATTACCGCCCCAAACACAGCCCTTCATCTACTACCTGATTGCTTTTTTTATATACGGAGACAATCACAAAGTGGGGGGTTCGAATTAGTAGTATTACAACATAGGGAAAAGTCCCTATATAAAGCCGATTATTTTAGAACGTACTGTATAAACTTCAAACTGCCGGGGCTTTTGAAGGAAGCTATGCTCTTAAAAATTATGACAATGCATACCTTGGCGCACGCACTATGAATACATAGGGTGTTTTTTATCTACTACTAACTTTAAGTATGCAAACTTGCATCACTTTAATAATCTTTATCTGTCAAAATTTGAATCTGTCATGCATAACATGCATAACATGAAACGTAATCAATATCTGCACAATCTGTTCAGTTGCCATATATTCATATTCTTTACGCTAGTCATTTTTTAACTTTATCGGAACAGTCTCTCGGTTGTTGCAACAAAATGGCATAGCGATTTGTAGAGCTTCTAATCCTTCTTTAACAGAAATAGCAGGCAAATTATAAATACATAGTGAACCCCGTTACACCGAAGTGGGTCGGGACATAGGTGGTGGAAAATGCTAAGAAATTCGGTTTATCGGGATAAATTTAATATAGAGGTTTTAGAACTTACCTTCGGTTTAGTGGGGTTTTACTTAGCCCTTCGGTTAAACGGGGTTCGGATTAACGGGGTTGACTGTGTATTAAGTATTGGCAATGCAATGTATCAAATTATTTCGAAAGCTAGTAACGCCTTTTAATATTTAGCTAATTAAGGCAAGCTTTAATAAATATTAGCGTCGTCGCTACTGCTGCATCTGCATTGTTGTAAGGTTTGAGAATGAAATTGATGAAACTCATCAGGATGTGGTTTCCTTTAGTACAATGAACGTCATTCTTGCGCTGTCAAATATTTCTACAACTAAGTATGGTATTTGTACTCAAGACTAATAAAATCGTCAAAGTATTTTTTTGGCAAACGAGATCATTATTAGACGAAACCTCTTACTAATTACAACTAATTTACTTCAAATGATGTAAAAATTACTGTGACATATGGTAGACACATACAATGGAGCTCTTTGAAGAAAGAAAATTTGGGTATATTAGACTTGAAACATAATATTTCATTCCGGCAAAACGGATAGTGTTGTTAAACAGACTTGAAAGTTCAGACATTATAAATTACCTGCTATCACACATAATAAGTAAACGTTATAATTATCAATGCAGCGGCAGCAATAATAATTAAATCGTTGAGCTCAGTACTAAGTTAGTTTCCCCCCGAAAGTAAGCTCGGTAGATATATTATAGAACAATGATAAAAGAGCAGTTTTCTGAAGAACAAATTATTTTTGATTTCAAAATAATGTTAGAATTGTATTAGTCTCAGAGGTCACGCATGTCAGCTGGAACATGCTTGATTGTCGCACACATCTTAGGAATTATGAGTAGCACTAAATCTGCAGCAACAGTTACTAAAAAGCGAATTCGTAATATAAGTAGAGGATCGATCGGCAAGAGGAATTGTGTAACCGCATGGCAAACACTCCGTGATTATCTCATGTAAACCCCAGTACATTAGGGATCCATAATACACAAAGCACACAATGCAAACCGCATACTAATAAGTTTAATAGCTGTTGCCACGCAAAAGCATGGCATCTAAATTAGGTTATTTACTTCGATTTTTAGAAAAAAAGTTTCATATGCTGCGGTAAATAATATAATGACAATGTTATATAGTTAGAGATATACAATTATTATTATAAACCAAATACGCAAACATTTATTTATTAAAATGTAATTAGCGTTTGTTGCAATAATATCAGATTATTCAATTGAGTCGTTATTTATATGATAACCTAATATTAAATGTAATATTTACTATTTATACAATATAAATTTAATTACTAATACAATATGTTCACTACGATGAAACAAGACAGTAAATACTGACATAATATATATGATAACCTGTAGTCTTAAAATGTATTTATACAAGACAATTTAGTATACTAAAACATATGAAATTTGATACAATGTGAGAAAACGTGATGCAATAAAAACCAAATACATGCATGTTACAAATAAAGTAACTACTACGATGGAGCAAGAAACCAGCATTGGCGTCCATTGTAGCAATAGTTTGAATGTATTTCTTTATTCTCCCTTCCAATCCCCTTCTTTTGCCACGACCGCCAGTATTTTGTCAAACTCATCAATAAATTGATTAAATTTTTCTTTCGGTTTAATAACCCCCTTCTGATGCACAAAAGTACATTTGAACCCGTTACCGTAAGATAATAAGTTAACTGCAACGACAGGACCACCTACCTAATAAATTTAGTAATAACCAAATTTAATAACAATGTGTTAATATCTTGTGACAATTGAATCTTGACCTAACTATTTCTCACTTACATCTGGTGATTGAGAAAATGCGCAATCCAATATTTTTACATTCGTATCTTTTGATTCGTTTTCTCCATGTGGCGTCCATACACCAATATTAGGAATATCTTTTCTTCCCATTGGGTTGAGCTTTCTCTTTCTTCTAAAATACTTTCCCCACTTTTCATCTGCTTTGGAAGTAAATTTTAAACGCCCAGTGCGCTGAATAGATTTTTGTGTACTTTTTGCAAGTTTTGATTTGTACATCCTCGATACGTTCCAAAATCCTTGATTGAGTTTTTTTACTGAAACTGAAAAGTTGTATATACACAGAGTTTTGTCGGTTATAGGTGGATTAGCACATAGTCTGATGGATATTGGTGTTAGATTATATAACATTTTGTCTTCGTTTAGATCGGCGAGAGAATGGCAAGCCGCAAACAGGAGAGCTGTATGAATAACTGCATAAAGCGTGGTTTTTTGTTGTTTTGATCTTGACAGCAGCAGATTTACTTGATCCGAGTCGATCGTTACTATCTTTAATTTAGTATGAAAATCTTTGATATCCATTGCAAGACCCTCTCTAGCTGTGCAATAGTCCGGCTTGGATTTCATGAATGAAGGAAGGAAGGCATCACTAAACACTTTCTTCATTAGAAGTTTCACAGACACGTTTGTGTCAAGGAGCTCATCGCAGGGCTTAAATATCTGAGCATAAGGAACATTAACTATCGAAGAGATATTACTTAATAAGCTCTTGTTGTTAAGGTTCTTATGCGTGCGAACTATATTATTCAGTGAATTGTAGAATAGTGTGTTTAAACTATGAAAGCCAATTCCATCTGTCATACTATAATGATAACAAAATATGACACATATCTCATCGTTGCGCTTAACATTCACTCCAACAATTACTCTCCATAGCAGCGTAGTCTCAATCGACAAGTCGAATACTTTGTCATGTTCTCTTTCCAGTATTTTCTCCAACTTTTCGTCTGATTGTATTATATCAAAACGTACTTGTCGAGATAAATAAATTGTAGGAATATGAACAAAGAGTGGTCGACTTGTTTTTGGGTCTCTTATGCCAATTGCCAATGCTGGTTCCTTGAGAATTAGCTCGGTCAATGCGCTATAGATCATCGGTCGTAGTGTTTTTCGTATGTTGTCATTTAAACCGGTTGATGATTTGATAGGAACAGATGAAAAGAAGTCTTTACATTGATAACGTACAGCTGTACAGACATTAGCGCTATATCGCAAAGTATTTCTGACAAGGTATAGTCTCTCGAGATTGCCGAGAGGGCGAACAACTTCTATATCTGATTGCGCCATAACAATAGAATGAATGGACATGTCAAACAGCAGGTCTGGTAAAAGCCGCCATCAAATATAATTTTCATCGGAACAACATGTAAGCGTTTCAAGTAATTCTGGCCGCGTGCTTAGTTTAGTGAGTAAAAGTCTCGATCTTCAAAATCAAGCATAATAGGAATATTCTCCGTTCGGCAAGAAAAATTCTTAAAATTTAACCAAAAATGGCAATTCCCAAAATAGTTTTTTTGTCAAAAAAGCATTTGAACGTGCTTCTGAGCAGCTTACTCGATGCTGACCTTGGATCAGCATAGCTCAACCCTTTTTTTTTAGTGGTTACTCAATAGATATACTAGTAATAGTAAGATTTTATCAAAACTATTGGTCCCTTTTCTTACATAAAGTTGACCCTTTTAAAATGCGAAATCGGGAACACTCACAAAAAAGTTAATTGATTGATAAACAATGGGACTCAATCGTTTTACTTATCCGTGATGGAATTAGTCAAAAGATTGTTGAAATCATAAAAAAGGCATAAAATTTCGCGTGCTTTAAACAATCCTTTATAGTCTGTATTTAAACTACACTGGACAAAGTATTGGCAGTTGCCTGTACATGCTATGTAGTTTACAACAATTTCTATGCCATTTTGAAGCTAATTGATTGTATTCTCGAAAAAAAGTAATATATATTCGGTCCCGTCATATCGTTTAAGGCTGCAGTTCGATAAAATGGTGGTATTGATGTTATAATTGTTGTTCATACATTTTCATGTGTGTAACATAGATACCACCACTTTCTCGCACCACAGTGACTATTTTTTTTTTTTTAAATTCCACGTTATTTTTTTCAAAAAGTACAATCAATCAGCTTCAGAAAGTATAAAATTATTGTAACTTACATAGAGATGTTCGAAGAAAGAAAAGAATTGTTCATATGACTAATTGATCGACAACATTGCTAATACTTTTTTGTCCCAGTGGGTACAAATATTGTAAAATATTAAATTTTGCTAATCTTAGGAGACACACTATACGATTACGACATAACATTGTCGCTTATTAATGCAAGTTAACTGCATGTCAATTATTAGCAGAAATTCAATATACAATGGTCCCATTTTTATGAGTAATAAACCTACTGTATATGACGTATTAGAATATTTTTAATAATATTAATCTGTGATTTTCATTGTGTACGGTGTCGATAAAACTAATACCAACGTTTAATCGAACCTTAGTACAGCGATAATTAAATTTAATTAAAATATATATATATATATATATATTTTGATGATTCTAAATACAATTGTTCAAAAAACTATTTGATTCCCTCAAAATAGTCTCCGTTATTAACATCTCTGCAATGTTTGCAAACGATTCTGCCAACTATAGAAGGATTCTCATAATCAGGTCGTCAACAACTGGCTGAACAGCTCTTGCCAAAATTTTCAGCATTATTAAAACTTTTTTCCTTCAGTTCTTTCGGAATAAGAAAAAATTACAAGGAGAAGGATCCAGACTATATGGTATGGAAGATTGGTTTCCTGTTACTTGTGAAGATATTCAATTGCGATTGCTGACTTATGCGGTACAACATGTCATAGTGAAGCGTTCTGCACAAATTTGGAAACAACCAATCAGAGAATGCGCAAATTGAGGACGTTTCGTTCTGTGTTTTCGATTCGCTTATGAGTTTTCAGAGGAAGAAGACTTCAAATCATCCTTTTCAGTTTTCCTCTCTCTGCATTAACAGACATACTTGACAAGTCGTCGACTTTTGGCAATATATTTTTCTGACGTCAACACAAGCTTTGTCAAGAATGCTTTCATCTCTATCACTTGAATGTATAATTTAGCTTTAAACTGTGCGAAGAGAAAGTTGGTTCCCGATCATTCCTACATAAAACGAAAATGTATTATCGTTATATCGTTTATGGCCTATTTTGTCCAATTGTTTTGGCATAGGTTTTTCAAAAATGGGTTCTCATTCATTGCGGGAGCTCTATTTTTGCATAGGTCAGCTGATTAACCCCTGGGGCTCACGTAAACATGTACTAGTACGTAATCAGCAATTTTATGTATATACAGGGTTTCCTCTTGCTTCCTTGAAGAATTTCCACTTCAAAGTCATAGTGTCAGACTATGTAGCTTTAACTATATAATAAAACCCTTGCACACATGGAATTTCAACCAGACAACGCGTCTTTTGGCGAGTCCGCTGGGTGGAATGAAGTTCTCGACGACGAATACATTGAAGATGAAGGGTTCGTTGTTATTATAGCCGCAGAGAATGCTAGACGAAGAAGAATACAATAGCATTCTGCAAATTACAATGAGGATATACATATCCCAGAAGAGAAACCATCCAAGTTGTCTCCATGTGAAATTGCTATTTGGAAATAATATCGATTTTAAAGAAAAAACATTCGCATATGACAACATATACGACACAACGCGAAAAACCAACCATGCCACTATCCGCATGGCTTTCCGTATGGCCCCTGGCACTCATGTTATGGCACCTGGCACCCACATCCATATCATCATTACACTCTCTTGCTAGCCTTACTCCACAAAAGAAATAGACCACGAGGTGATTTTGGAATCCGTAAGATCCTTACCGTCGTTTACTTACTTTTGTGGCAACATGCAACATCACAACATACCACCAGCAAAAATAATCATTCTATGCTAGGCAGACTCGTTTGGTGGCAAATTCTACATAGCATATGAGATCTTGGATTTGAAAATACCATTAAAGGTCTCAAACCGAGAATCTGTAGAAGACCTATTGACAAATGCCATTAAGCTAAAGATCTTGCTAGCCTTACTCCACAAAAGAAATAGACCACGAGGTGCTCTTGGAATCTGTAAGACCCTTACCGTCGTTTACTTACTTTTGTGGCAGCGTGCAGTATCAAACATACGACGGGCTAAGGATTTCTTTTCTAATGGATTTTCTGACCGATTTGCATTAGCAACAAGAGTACCCTTGGTATCCTTGGCATCCTTGGCATCCTCATCAACAACGGCAAAATCAGTTCGAAGTGGGCACCCAAATTATATAAGATACACATGGTATCTTTTTATTCTTTCTAATGACATAGTTTCCGCATTATTCCGTTATCTGGAGATGACTCTAATATAAATACGACGCGCTCGGTCTACATGGCATACATCCTGCTATCATGGACTTAGAAACAGGCCACGCTCTCATATAATCACAAACCACAGAAGACCCAATCATCTCAACATCAACAGCCGTAAAGTGCCCCTCACCCCCTGCTGGGCGTGACATCATTTATTAAAGAACAATCAAATATCATAGAACAAATTATAGCATTTCTGCTGAGAAGGCGTATGCCATTAAGCTAAAGATTCACTTTGAGGGAATAGCGGATCAAGTAGTTAGACTAAAGACTAAAAGCAATGGTCTGCCCTTAAAGTAGAAGACAGAGCTTCAACACCAGAAAACCAATCTGTTATTGGTTTTGAAACAACCTATGCGCCATCGGCCATAATCTCGATTCCATAGCAATGAATTCATGTATCAGTATATCTAAACAATAACAATAAAGAACATTGATAAGATTAATATCATTTTACGTAAATGTGATCTATACTTAATGTCGAAAAATAAACCCTTAAATTTGAAGTTGGAGCTAAGGCTATAAGCTAAATCTCACTCCTGGAGATGGAGAATAAACGATGGGTGATGTACTTCCACTATGGCAAACAGTTCACACTTTCGACACCATTTCCGCTTCTACTGTTAAACACTGACAGTAAGGGACAATCTGGGGTGCGCATATATCGGCTGACAAATACCTTCGATTTTTTGTTCGCGAGTAAGAGGGTAGTTTATTATAAGCATTTTTTCCAGGCTTTAAACCCATTTGGAGTAGCGCTGATAGCAAATTCTATAATGATGTCATCTTCATATTCAGACAAAACATTAACCGTGCATGGTAAAATGTATTCGTCATATATACCATTATGAGCTGTAATAAACAATTCTCATCCAATTCATCAGATGGCATGTACATACAAATCTTCACCGTTCTTCTTAAAAGCGATATAGTCTTCGATAGCAGTGACAGCGGGCTCGTTACAGTGCCTCTTGGGAATAAAATATTCGTCAAAGACATTTTTATGCTTGGAAGGACGACGGACCGGAAGTTCGTAAACCGGAGCTGCTTGGAGTCGGATGGGACGGTGTTGGATTACTTCTTCATGACATAATGCAACGTGAGATTCGTTGTCACTTGCATGTCTAATTATTCTATGTTGTGTGAGAAATTAAAAAAAAAAAAGATTAAAAAAGACGATTAATGTTTGTCGAGGGGAACGGTTAAAAAAAACGAATGGTTTGTTACGTCATTGTAACAAGTCCTGTACTAATTTTATTTAAGCTATCTATTCTACCAACAGATGTGAATCGGATACGCCAACCACCACAATACCTGCGACAATACTCCACGTACGGCTCTTCTTTCCAACTATTGATTCCGCTCGGCGTACAATTTTCATCCTCTTCTATCTCACTCCTACTCACTCTATAATTCTCGATCTTCTCCTTATTCGTCCACATGCTATCGTCGGGTCTATCAACAAAATCGTCGGTTGTCTACCAACAAAATTCTCGGGCCGTCTCTTCAAGAGTGCTTTGGCAGGCACTTAGACTAAGGTTCGGGAATTGATGCTGTTGATGCTGTTGATGCTATTGATGCTGTTGATGCTGTTGATGCTGTTGATGCTGTTGATGCTGTATCACTGCGCTGGGAATACGGTGGTGGAGACTGATCTGACGACAGAGCGAGAGAAGAGTTGTGGCGCGCATAGTTGTTTGTGTAGTGAGAGATAAGCGGGTGGGGATTGTTGGGATGATGATGGCGTATAAGAATATGAAGATGGATTTGATCTATGATATCCAATGCTATTCACATAATCTCTAATCAGTCCTTCTTTGGCTTCGTTTGTAGTCAGGAAGCTCCAACTCTTTTCTTTTAGTTGGGGAACATGACCCGATTGTTTCTTCTTCGATTACTTGAGTTTAAATCGGTATTATCTTCATACTCGACAACGCTCCATGAACGCTCGCTTACCAACGGAGGGACGAGTTGGTGTGGAGGATAGTCTGTGATTGCTAGGAAGAGGGTTTAACTCTCGATATTGGATGGATTAAATAACTTGATAAGATCACAGTGGGGGTTTTGTGCAACTAATATTAATAACAAGTCTTTTTCTCTTGAGACGTGAAATAAGGATTGAATAATCTTATTATTATATACCTGTTGCCGTCAAGGGTGCCACTTTTACGGCTATTAAGAAAGAATATTTAATAACATATTGTGGATATCGATTAATGTTTCAGTGGGGTAAAATTTTACGCACGTGTTGATCAGGGAATATTTTACAGGGGACCGAAAATCGCTTAATTACCCCTGACAATAATAAATGAGACCCTTGCACTACTATTACAGTATTACCGAGACCTTGTTCAACAACATAGTAATAGAGCTAATTTAAGAATCGTAGAATTAATACAAGAAATATGACCTTTTTAATGTGAACCTAGAATTAAGCAACAAGTATATTATTAATACGTAACAAGAGCACGGAAGACGATAGATTGAAGTGTACATTGGAGCAATGAGCTTGGCTATATTATAACTCAAACGCTTTTTCAACGATAAAAAGGACAATTGAATCAAAGTAACAGCCGCTCATTGAGCGAAATACTCCTCAAATAACACATTTATGGAAGGATTTTAATAAGTTATTTGATAAAAAGTCCGAGCTGGACTCAGTCTTATTTAAGAAAGTGGTTATAAAATATCACAAAGCACAGGGAAGAAAAAGCATTATCGCTTTTCTTCTAAAAGGCCTATTCTCGAGAAAGATGATCAAAGCGCTTAAAAAATGGGTAGATAAAGGATGAATATGAATATGTAGCATTAATAATGTATAGTATATACTTCACTAGGGCGACTAAAGTATAGGAATACTCATCAATGGCTTTGGGTCCGAGTATTTCCTCCCATGCGATCGCTCTAATGAATATGCAAATGTACCGTACGCTATTTGTAAAGAAGATATCAACAAAATTAAGTGTATCAATTATCGTAAATGTACTGTATCTGTTTATTTTACTTGTTTTCAAATTTATATTTGAAGTCTTAAAATAGCAATTCGTATCTCCGTACATTATTCTTAGGTCTTTGCCATTGGTTGATTGTGTTACGGTCGGATGGGATAGTCTGGGGTTTGGAAGAGCGATTAATCTGTCGCGTAGTAGTCCTTAATACGGTAGTTGTTCAATTAAGACTGAATTCTAATCTACAAGTGACCTATTTATATAATTAAATGCGCGCCTCTCAACTCCCTATCCGAGCTTCAAATCACTCGTAATTCCAAATAAGGGTACACACAATAAAATAATAACAACAATTATTTTTATCGCGGAATCGAAGGGGAATAAATTCTATTTAATATTAAATGGGACTATCTTCGATTTGGTATTTTGAATAGTCAAATTCTGTCACTTGTCTCAGCTAATTAAACAACATTTGTTTTTTTTTTTTAAAATAATTAATAACTCTCGTTCCTCAATTAAGAGTACTAGATCAACGGAAATTTATATAACTTAAGCGAGTTGTTTTTACAGCTTGAGTGAGCCGTTTATTAATATCCGGTTAAATAATTAATATTGCAACGATGAAAAAAAGTAAA